GGGGGGGGGGGGGGTGTGCAGACTCCGGAGGAGCTCCTTCAGCCCAAGCGTTATCATAAATCAGTAAAACCGTTGTAGCGTGTAGCGCGATCCCATAAATGTCACTCATAATCAGGCCCTCGGCCCCACTCAGTCATCAATCTCTCAAGTCTCTCTCACGAGCTCACAGTATCATGAAAACTAGCCGGAACATGATGATGTAATATATCAATAAATAACAACAGAGTTTGAGATATGATATGAAATGAATGAATATGACTGCGTACGAAATATCAATGAAATCTGTAAGTCAACAGCAAGAAATGACCACTATGGGTCCCAGCAGTACCAGCATATAGCCTAAACATGATCCCTAACATGATTGACAACTCAATTACTTTATCACATGATGAAAATACGGATATCAACAAGATAGAACCACTGCACAGTGCCATGGAATCGACCAGGTCACAATTCTCACAGTACACGCTCGCATGTCAGTCACTTGGCATGTGCATCACCTCAACACCAATCACATAACACATAATTCGGGGTTTCGAACCCTCAGAGCCAAGTTTAGAAGTATTACTTACCTCAATCCGAGAAAAACTCTACTCCAACACATATTTGCCTCCCAAATCGGCCTCCAAATGTCCTGAATCTAGCCACAAGTAGTACAATAAAATTAATACAGGCTAAAGGAATCAATTTTACAAGAAAATACGAAGCTATTAATCAAAAATCCGAAATTGACTCAAAGCCGGCCCCCGGGACCACGTCTCGAAATCTAACAAAAGTCACAAAACTAGAAAGCCCATTCAACCACGAGTCTAATCATACCAAATTTATCAAAATCCAACATCAAATCGCCACTCAAATCCTCAAATCAAACTCTCTGTCACGACCCCAAACTCAACCCGTCGTGATGGCGCCTAACATAGCACTAGGCCAGCCTCAAACCAACGCAATCCAATACCACAGTGTAAATATTAAAAATCATTTGCGGAAAACTTTCATCATTTTTAAAGCAAATCGTTTAAGACATAAAGGAAAGATTTATATTACGATACAATCGTCCCAAAACCACGGTGTCAATGAGATCATGAGCGTCTAAGGTAAATACATAATCTATCAAAGTGTCTAAGAACCAACAAAAAATACAACTGAAAATGAGAAGGAGAGCCAAGGTATGCGAACACCATGCAGATACCTCAACAACTCTACAACCTGCGACCTCGATCAACGGCTGCTACTGGGGCCATAGATACCTGGATATGCACACAGGGTACAGGGGGTAACGTGAGTACACCAACTCAGTAAGTAACAAGCCCAAACTATGGACTGAGAAGTAGTGACGAATTCAACCTCTTCATAAGATAAACATGAATATCGTATAGAAAAGTAGACATGCTTTTAGTTAATTAAACAGCTCATAGCAGTGAAATAAAACAAGTATGAACATGATAAAGGAGTATAACTCTGCTACATCTACATGCCAATGCACGTGTTGTATGAAATGCACTAGGCCAAGTACCTTATGTTCCCAATAACTCAATGCTCGTCCACTCAGTACTGTATATGGCTCATACGGCCCAGGGAAGATCCATCCCATATATATATACATCTTTGACAGCAGTCACTCAGTACTGAGGAAGGCCAATCCAGCCTACGGAGAAGATCCATCTCCTGGTAATAATAATGACAACCTC